ATATATATATATATATATACATATATATATATATATATATATACATATAATATAATATATAATTTTTTTTTTTAAATGAAGGCTAAAAGGTAATCCCATGTATATTGCTGAATGTATGCCTGAACAGGAACTCAGTTAAGGATGCATATCTAGAGGTAGGGAAAGGTTTGTCGCATTTGGTAATGCGCTCATGCGTACTGTGGAAGATAAAGGATTTGATTTCATGTCCTAACTGAGCACTCCTGTCCCTCTTAATGCTTGAATGCATCCTATTGTAACATGAGGTTCATTGTTTATCTGTGCGCTTAAAGGATGACATTTGAGTTCGCTTGGATTCCGAAGCCTCGTACAATTCCCGTTCGTTCTTTTGGTCCTCGCGACAGAAAGAGAGATCATTTTGCTTTCCCCTTTTGGGAGGCCTGTTACAAAACACCTCCAGCTTTCTCACTGTCCGCTACAGTGTCAGTAGAATATGCCTGGCCCTCTTGTAACCCTATCCGGCCTACCAACCTACACATTTCCTAAAGCAATAGTTCTCTGAGTAAACAGTCTGAAAAGAATGGGGCCTCTATAAACACCATACGTAGCTGAGAGTGAAAACTGGACACTTTACGTCAAGAGGTAAAGTGCCAAAATCTGCAAGGTGTGACTAATGTGTCTGCAGTAGGTCGGGCGAGGACAACCCAAAATGTGTCATGCCATACTTATTTCAAACCAGTTGTCTGTAAATGGTCTTCAGCGTTTGGCAGGCTTGTGCAGGTCACTCTGAAATGGATTTCTCATCCAGGTGTGAGCAAAATGAGCCACCATAATGTTTCCAGATGAACTACTGTCTTATTCTTTGCCTAGTTTTTGTGAATACCTATAGCAGTAAAACAATTTCAATCTGTTTGACTTCATTCTTTTGTACACTTTCTAACCCCCAGTTAGCTGTGCTTTTGAATCTGTCTTTCCTGTTCCAGGGACATACTTTTGTTGCCAGGTGTTCGTTGCCTTTTGAATGTGCTACTTAATCTTTAATTTTTTTGTTGGCAGATTCTCACAAACACAAAGATAAATACAAGGACAAAGAACACAAACACAAGGACCACAAGAAAGACAAAGAACGTGAGAAATCAAAATACAGCAACAGGTATGACGTCGCTGTTATTCACTCCTACGGTAGATATATAGGCGCTTTATAGCCCAGTTTGCTCTTTACGGGGTGTGTTTGATAAGCAGGGCGTGGCCTTCAGTGTTCAGACCACAGGAAGGAATGTTGGCTTTACTGCAACTTCCTTTGTAAACACTATCATCTATTTGGAGCCGATTTTGTTGATGGACCAGACCATTGTGGCAATTAGATCACGGCATGTTTTATTGCATTTTGGCAGCGAACACAGGGACTCCTCGGATAAAAAGCACAGAGATAAAGATAAAGAGAGGCTGAAGCTCAAAGATGGATCTTCAGACAAGCAGAAGGACAAACACAAGGAGAAGAAAAAGGAGGAAAGGGTGGGCAGAGGCCTCTGTTACTTTCACATTGCAACAGTTTTATCTGAGCTAAATCCTCTGGCTCTGGAGGAGTTGTAAATAGTCTTTTGTGATTCACACAATATTGAGTGCTGTTACTGACCTCTTTCTATTGTGTGTATTTGATTTGTGTTTT